TGCTCTGGGGGTCTAGTCCCTGCGGAGCCCGAGCCAGATTAACAGCCGGTCTAGAAAGTTTACAGCCCGGGCCAGCCAGCCAGCACTGGAAAAGGGAGGAGGAGGTTGTATTCACCACCCTGAGTCAGGCAGGTGTGGGGGTGCCACCGTGGGATCACTCTGCATCCGCGTGGTCCAAGGTGGTCCAAGGCGGCGCCAGCCACCACCTCTCCCCCCGCCCCCCACAGGGCACAGCGGACACACTGTCCCACGAGCCCGCTCCAGGCGCTGCTTGCGCGGCGCTGCCCAGGAGCGGTGCTGGAGGCCCCTCAGCAGCTCCCAGCCTGAAGGCGGCTGAGCATGTGGGGGGTGGACTGTCCAATGGCTGGGGGCACGGGCGTGGGGAGGGCCGCATTCTCCACTAGTCCTGCAGGAAGAGCTGCCCTGCCTGCAAGTGCTGTGCTCCTTGGGGAAGCTTGGCTGGGAAGAGCAGCGTCCTCCTCCAAGTGAGACAAAGCTCCCCCTCCCCCCTGCTCCCATGCAAAGCCTCTTGCCCTTCACGTGTGTCTGGGCACCGTGAGCCCGCGTGGTCCGGCCCTGGCCGGCGGGAGGCCTCCTTACCTGGACAGTTCTGTGTGGAGGGAGCACGTGTCATCCAGAAGCACGTCAAGGCCATGCAGACTTGCTAGCAAAGACAGGAGACAGTTAGAGGCAGGCGAGGGGCTGGCCAGCACCCCAGGAGGAGCTGGGAGAAGGTGGCGAGACTCAACAGGGACATACTGTGCCAACCACTCAAAAGACAAAGGCCCAAACCTGAATAATGGGGCTCCAAGACAGGACTCTAGCAGGGGTGACACTGGCACCCCGTCCTGCTGTTCATGGCCAGCTCAGCCCTGACACCCCCTCCTGGGGGGGGGGGGGGGGGGAGGGGAGGGGGCGCTGTGCATGGCCACAATCCTCTTGGACAGCATTAAAGCACTGTTTTTATTTTTAAATTAAATAATATGTACATGGCTCTTAGTAATGGGCCAGGCACTTGTTCGAATGAACCAATATTAACTCATTTAATCCTCACACGAACATATTAGATATTATCATCTTGGCTCCAAGAACCCAGCCGGTAAGAGGCAGTCTGAGTCCAGAATCCGTGCTCTGAACAATGACCCCAAGCTACTTTTCGATGTGGTGAACATGAAAACTTTACAATTTTCCATATTCTTGACCTAGAAATATCTCCTGTGAGAATTTACCCCATGGATCACCCAGCATCACCCAGGAGGCGTTCACAGGTGGGAATGTTGGTGCAGTGCGACAATCTAAAGAGCCAACTGTGAGGAGAGAACGACTTCAGAAGCCGTGGCACGCCCCGGATCGGGCACAAGGCCTGTGCACCCCTCTCCCGCTCTCCCAGCACCCGCCACAGCACGCACCCACGGGGAGGAGCAGTCCCGGGGTTGCGCACGGGCTGGCACAGGACCCAGCAAAGGCGCTCCCGTACTCTCATCTCTTTTAATCCAGACACTGTGCCTTTATGAGTCCAGTTTTACAGAGGACCAGCGCGGGCAGCGGCACAGCACAGGGCAGGGCCTGCTTGAGGCTGCGCACGGCCTGCTCTTTCCAGCCACGCGCTCAGTAGGCGCGGGGCTCAGGAGGGGCCTTGCTGCGTAGGCATGCGGCTGCCCAGCCTCTGGACCGCCTCCACTTACCTCCATGCGGGAGTTTCTCTCTGCAAGTGTCAAGTTTGTTGTTCTGTTTTGTATTTTTTTTTTAAATCCTCACCTGAGGATATTTTTCCATTGATTTTTAGAGAGAATGGAAGAGAGAAGGAAAGACAAGGCAGAAATATCCATGAGAAACACATCAATTGGTTGCCTCCTGTATGAGCCCAGACCTGGGCCCGGGCTGGGGAGGAGCCTGCAATCTAGGTACGTGCCCTTGACCTGGAATCAAACTCAGGACTCTGGTGCACAGGCCGACGCTCTAACCACTGAGCAACCGGCTAGGGCAAGAGCCAATAGTTTGACCTTTTTTCACACACAAATTATACTGCAGGTACCAGAAATGTCAGATACCGAAGGACCATAATCTGCTATCAAAATCAGCCTTTACCTGATCACCTAGAGAAAATTATCTTAAATGTAGAAAAAAATTAATTTATTGGAAGCTATATGCTAGACACTGTTTTGAGTGCGTTGCATGTACTATCTCATTTAATTCTCATACTTACTGTTAAAATAGGAACTTTTTGTTCCCACATGAATGGAATCAGGGGTTTTAGCAGGTGGCCCATGCTCTGGGCAGTGTGGTCGATAACACAGGAAAGCAGTACCTGCAGGCCAGGGTCTCCGAGGCTCGCCACCCACACTCACAGCCCTGGGAGCTGCTCCGAGGAGAAACCGCGAACCTTGCGGTTCCATCCACAGCCTGGCAGGCCCGGGGCCTTGCCGCCACGCCTGCCCCTCACAGCCTCCTCGGACTTCGAGCTGCTTGGCCCACGCCAACTAACCACGCTGGTCAGTCACCAGGAGGGCACAAGCCCAGCACTGGCCTCCAGGTCAGTCACGGAGGGAGCAGGTGGGCGTTGTAGCTCCCAGTGGAGGGCAGAGCCCACAGAGCCCTCTGGTGGCAGGCGTTTGGGTAACGGTGAGAAGACAGGTCCCTTTGGTTTGTGCTGTGAAAACTCATATCCCAGCATGAAGCAGAGCCCAGTCCCCAGGTCGCTGGGCAGCACCTCCTTCGGGACAAGCTGTCCGACAGCCGGGCACTGGGCCTCCGTGAAGCCTGCACCAGACCATGGCGAGGGAAGGCAGGTCCCGCACCGAATGGCACCGGGCGTGCGGTGCTCAAGCACCAGCCCTGCCTCTCGCCCAGCACTTGGTCCCGAGCCTGCGGGTGAATGAAGGGGCGCCCGCCTCTGACCTGTAAGACTTCCAGTCCAGGAAGTGAAACCTTCGCGTCCTCGGAGTGGGTGGGGGTGCGTGCAGAGTGACTCCCCACAGGAGCCCCTCACGTGCTCACTGTCTCCTCCCAGGGAAGGTGCTACGGGCTGAACCGTATCCCCCACGTTCTTGAATGGAAGCCCTGACCCCCAATACGGTAGAACAGGACTGTTTGGAGACAAGCCTTTAAAAGGTGAGTATGTTAAAATGAGGCCATTAGGATGGTGTCAGGAGAAAAGCAGGACAGAGGACCCCAGGGACGAGTGCATGGAGAGGCGTCGAGAAACCAGCCCTGCCGACAGCGTGGTCTGGGCCTCCGGCCCCAGAGCCGTGAGTGGGACGCTGCTGTGGCTCCCGCAGCCCGGTTGGGAGGATTCTGCTATCACAGCCCCCCAGACGGATACTGACAGTCACAATACTCCTCCAACTCAGAATGTCAGTAAGTGAACACAATAAACCTAAAGATTATTTGGTTAATACTTTTAATTACATGGTTATAATTATACAGTTTCCACTCTTCAATATTTTGTATAAAACCAGTTACAATACACATTATTTCAAATGCAACAATACATATCGAACTACATAGATATGCAAAGTTTACACGCCATTATGAAGCTTTATCTTAAAAAATACCTTCAGGAAAATAAACATTCATTCAACCAGTTCTCTCAGCTTTATAAAATGTGGTTAGAAATATACATTTTAATTTAAAAAATCAAGACAATGATTGACCAAATACTGATTCATCAGTTACATTTTAAAACTTTTAGTAATCTGTACATGAGTGCAGGTTAGATAAAAGTATGCAAATTATTAATATAAAACCGCAGCACTATGCCCAGACGAAGCTATCCGCTGACATTTAACGAGGCGGTCGAGGAGGTAATTTCCTTCAGCGCAGGCGAGGCCGCCGCGCCCGCAGTGCCCCCCGGACGTGGAGAAGCTGACCCGGGTGGGAGAGCAGCAGCCAGCCTCAAGGACAGCGTTAGTGGGAGGCAACCGTTCAAGAA